TGGTAGCTTGCAGAAATAGGGATGGAGCAAATTGAGGGGAACTTAGAGACTGCAGTGACATTGAAGAATAATGGAGCACTGGTGCAATGCACGATTACAATCCACAGAGCACAGTTTAAAAACAAAAAACCTGAGGACTCAATGTTTAACATGTTGCAGAAATTACATATATCCCAAACATTTAATGCTTGACTCTATCTTCATTACTTGTTCTGCAGATGACAATAATTACTTTAATTCAGCCATGTGATAGTGGCTCATCATGCCTGTAATCCTAGTTATTCAGGCTGGGACCTGGAAAACTGAGGTTTGAAGCTACCCCAGTCAGAACCATCCACAACACTCCATCTCCAAAACAACCAACAAAAAATCTAAGCTGGAAGTATGAATCAAGCGGTAGAGCTCCAGGCAAGAAAGCCAAGAAAGCACAAGGCCCTGAATTCAAACCTCAATATTCTCTCCTCCCCCTAAAAAATATGTGTAGTCTTTAACTTAGGTCTTAATGATGACAACACAGGATTTGTTAAGTGTTATCACTTTGCTTACTTATTCTGTATTATTTAATGAATGAGAACTAATTTACAATGTAGGGAACATCAACCACCAATTTCTCCTCATTAAGAAATTATTGCTGTCCCTCAACAACTATTGCTAGTTGCTGACAGAATAAGTCTGGATCCTCTGCTGTGTGCTGGATTGTCCCACATGTTCCTTTCCACATTGATATGTTGGTCCTATGCTTCAAAACCCCAATGCTGACCAAAGGTGATCTTTAACCAGAGCTCACTAAGAATAAAATAATAATAACTTTTGGCATACATGTGCCATTGGATTAAAAAAAACTACACCATATTTTAGAGATACCTTGAAATGGAACATATTTATTAAAATTATGAAATACCAGAAATACCATTGAAATGGTATACGTGTACATGAATGCTCATTCTGCAAGAGTTAAATATTCTTCCAACTGGTCTCTGTCAAAAGAACTTGGTGTGGGCTCGGAAGGTGGCTCAGTGGTAGAGTGCTTGCCTTGCATGCATGAGGCCCTGGGTTCTATTACTGAGCACCACATAAGCAGAAAAAGCCAGAAGTGGCACTGTGGCCCAAGTGATGGAGCATTAGCCTTGAGTTGAAGATCAGAGGGACAGTGCCCAGGCCAAGAGTTCAGGCCCTATGACCAACAAACAAACAAACAAAAAAAGAACTTGGCATAGTTCACTGGAATATGAAAAACAAAATTTATTTACCTTGCTATAACTCAGCATTAAAAAGTAACAGGAAAATTTGTACAAAAATGAGTAAAAAATTAAGACAGAGGAAAAGTGGGCAGACAATTGCCTTGTCTTCTGAAAAGTGCTATCTAGGAAACCAGGCCACCCTACCATGATTTAACTAGACATTACTTCTACATACCTACCATACTGCCATCTTCATTTCAATGTAAAACTGAGGAATTGGACTGGAAATAGCAAACCTCCTATAGTTTCAGCTTCATGTGAAGCTAAGAGAAAATCCTTTTGAAAGGCTCAGGTCACACAGTGGACAGAGGAGTTACAGTGACTTAGATGTGGCTGGGAGGTGCCCCTGTGGGAATTCTGAGGGCCTATAGACAGTGATAGAATGCAACATGGAGAAGGCTATAGAAAATTTTGAGAAATGAGAGAAAGAAGAGAGAAGTGATAAAAGCAGGATTCAAATACTTTGTGAAGAATCCTGAGACTATCTCAGGCTATGACTAAAGATCATCCACAGGATGCAAAGGAAGTAGAAATTCAGGGAGAAAGAACGAGAAGGAGGGAGAGAAGAAGGGAGAAAGGGAAGAAGGAGGATCACATTACTAGAAATTTCCTCTCCCCTAAATTTAAAATCCATGAGTTCATACATAATATCCAAAATGGGTAAAACGCATTGTTCCTATATGGAAAATTCCAAAACATTAGCTTCTTTTTCTAAAACTAACAAAAAGAAAAGAATGAAATGCAAAAGAGCAAGAGAGATAGTGTTAATGAAAGTGGGGAGGAAAGCTGGATAGACTTTAGACCTTATGCCTCAAACTAAGTAGCCTTGTGCTTATCAGTCTTGAACTTACACTTTTATACTGATATGCATCACTTCCCACCAAAACGTTTGGTGTCCTTGTGCAATGGGACATTCTGTACATTTTTGTTGAATAATTAATCAACAGTTTAGTTAAGAAAAGATTTCACTTCTTCTTAAAATACAAGTTTAATAAAGTATATTCCAAAGAACATAGATCATCTATTTTTTGAAGCACTGGTCTTCACATTGAATTTTATTTATCATTCTCACCTATAAATCTTTATATATATATATATATATATTTGTGAAGATACTGTACAGAGGGGTTACAGTTACTTGAGTAAGGTAATGAGTACAATTCCTATTGAGCATTGTTACTTTCTCCTTTGTTTTTCCCCTACTATCCCTTCCCTTCCTACCTCCTCAACTCCCTCCCCCCACCCCCGCCAAAGTTGGAAAGCTTGTTTTCAACATAGTGTCTTATACATCTTATTGTTATAACAGGTCAACCTGTATCCTTGTTTCAGCATTTTGTTATTTTCCTTCCCCTCCCCAAATTAGAAAAATGTATATATAAAATGCAGGGCACCAGAATCAAATACAGTGAGAACAGGCTTTATACCATATCACCTACAAATCTTTATAGTCAGTGTTAGCCAGTATAGAAGCACACATAAACAAAATTTATCTGTCTTTATAGTGTTTAGAATACCAATGTCCTTTGCTTTAACTTTCATCTTCCTGGATTACTAAAGATGGCCATCTTTTCATATAAGATCTAAGTCACTCCCTTCATGCTAGAATCAGTTTTTAAATGTGACCTTCAACATGTCCAATGAGAATGTAGAGTTAAGTAATCTTGGTGGCTTGCTTTATGATATAGTTTTGAATTTCTATAAAAATAATTCCATCTGAACCTAATATGCTGCATACACTAGCATTAGTAGAGAGGGTGAAGAATGCTTCTATTCAACAAAATGTACTTGGGAAACCTGTTTCATTTCACAACCAATACAATTGCACTTCTTTCACAACATGCTACTAGGTCTATCTATCATTAAAACCAAAGAACAGTCAGTTCTGTACTAAAGGAAGGAAAAATGGCTCTGAGATGCTGTCCAATTTTAATTATATTTTGGGAGGTAGTTGTAATATTTAATGAATACAAACTGTATTCACCTTTCACTTAGTAATAGAATTACAGTCATCAGTGATAAAATTACAGTGATCAGTGAGTTTCTAATTTGTATGCACATATCTTCCCTTTAGTGAAGAGTTCTGTTTTTCCTCTTATTAGTATAATACTTCCAGCCATACAAAACTATTCATTGCAAAGGCACTGCAGACTTTCTGATTAGAAGCTTAATTTAATGGGAAATATGTATTGCTAGACTAAGCTTCTTAAAACCAAAAAATATAGTAGCCTCAGTCAAATAATAAATGTACTTATAGAAATAAACAAGTACACAAATTTCACAGTTCACAGACAGAAGCATAAGTTAATGAAAATCTTCAGCATAATTAGAAAAGTAATTAGAAAAAAAAGATTGTACAAAGATGGTGGCAACAGCAACATAGATTTTGTTGTTTCCTTCTCTAATTCTCTAGCACAAAGCAGAAAGAGATGACAGTTTAAAATTTTTTTAAAGGATATGGTTGGGGATATAGTACAATGGAAGAGCACTTGCTTGGCACTTGCCTAAGAGTTCGGTCCTCAGCTCTGAAAAAATAAAATAAAAAATACATGGTAAACATCTATAGCAAACCTAGGTGTCAAAGAGTACCACAAACTCCAAAATGCACACAGAAGGGGGCAAAGAACCCTTAGATATAGGTCACAGTATCAGTGGTTATGCAAACAAAAACAAAACAAAACAACAACAACAACAAAACCTCATAACCAGTCTGAGAGCCAGAAATCTGTAAAAGTGTCTTTAGGTCAGACTGAATCCCATGGCCATTCTATGAAGAATAGTATACAGGAACTGGAAGACTGCTGGGATAATAATTTGCAGGCTAGAGTGAGGGAGTGTTGGTGACTCTCTGAAACTAACAAAACAACTTATCAATATCAAACCTCTCAGTATGAGAAACCAGTAGGAATAAAATAGAAACCAAGCATTATAGAAATGATAAGTGCAGAGAAACATATAGAATCCAAGTAAAGGAGGCAAAGCAGTAGTGAAAAAAGGTTTCAGAAAATATAAAGTCCATGTATTTACCACCATGCTTAGGAATTTTAGAGCCAATTGGTTATGTAGCCTAAATTTTATGTAGCACAAATTGTCATGTACTATATTATATTATATTATATATTATATGTATATGTGTCTCATCAAACATTTATCTTGTTTATGGTGAAAATATTCAAGATTCTACTATTTTTGTGAAATATACTGTATGTAATATAAATATATAATATAAATGTATTAATTTATATTTATATAGACCTATATGATGTTTATTTTTTAAAAGAATATACTTTTTGATAATACATGGATGCATATTAAATCATTTAACATTAATACATGGTTTCATATTGACAATATATTGTTTAATAATTTACATTAATCCTAGGTAATCAATATTTAATTAGTACTTATATATATTTTTTCTCTACTAGGAAGTATTTTAATCGTTTTTCTTAGAAAAAAATTCCACTTAACAGTTCACAACATTTCAACAACAAAGCACTAGTTGAGAAGTTTTGGGGAATCAGGATTCTAGAGCATTAAGAAATGTTGGTAACCTGCTTTATTATGATGAGTGTCATGGGTCATGAATGGGAGATTTTTGGCTGCTAAGCCAGTATCAAAACAAAGGAATGACCTATGTTTCTGTACAGTTTATTTTCCTTCATGCCATCTCCCTATCCTGTAGAAAAGCCACCACATAAAACCCAGTAGCAGGTTGGTTAGGCTCCAGTCTTCTTGAATTAGAAGAGTGTGGAGGGAAGGTCACTCCTGAGTCTCCATGCTTTCCTCTTCCTCCCCTTGAGGTGGTTATTCTGTATTTTCCTCCTCTTCCTCATCTTCCTTCTTCTTTGGTGGCTTCTTATAAGCCTTTTCTGAAGGTGTCACTATCACTCCATCCCAAGTAGATATTTCAGAAGCAAGATAGCTGGCATCACCCTCCTGGCCAAGGATCTTCCTAAAACCACCATGTGAGAGGATTCCAAGAGAGTCTGAGCTGTATAGCAGACCATGTCCTGCTGTTCCAGGGTCATGACTGTGTGCACTCTGGGAAGGTGGCTCAGTGGTAGAGCGCTTGCCTTGCATGCCTGAGGCCCTGGGTTCGATTCCTCAGCACCACATAAGCAAAAAGAAAAAAGCCAGAAATGGTGCTGTGGCTCAAGTGGTAGGGCACTAGCCTTGAGCTGAAGAGCTGAGAGACAGTGCTCAGGCCCAGAGTTCAGGCCCCACAACCAGACCAAAAAAAAAAATGAAGTTGCCACTCTCACAGGGGTCAGTGATACCCACTGAACCTGGCAGGAACCGTCCTGCAGCCAGAATCTGCAAGCAACGCCTGTATGCCACATTTAGGGCCAAAGGCTGCCTGGTGGGGTTATTCATCACAGCATAGTGCCCAAGTAGGTCAAGAATCCAGGGTGTGAGGGGCTCAAAACCAGGAAAACGAATCCTTAGGTCCTTTAGCAGTCTGATGAGAACTTTAACTGTGGACTGAGAAGCATTTTCCTCAAACCAGCGGGCATGTCTGATGGCTGCTAAGGCACTCTGCATCACCTTGAGATCCAAATGGAGTTCTGGGTCCAGTTTTCGAAGATTGGGTGGCACTGTTGTTATGAGAATTTTCACCGTAGCATCAGAAGAACTAATTTCAAAGCCAGTTTCATTGTTCAGCATGGTCAAAACTTCAGAAGGATCTTGTGTTCGTAGGCTTTCCACACCTTTATTTCCCGGGGCAGCCACAGCTTCCAACGATGGCAGAATCTTCAGTATTACCACTAAGTCAGCCACATTGTATCCTGTAGTCATTGTTCCCTTTTTGTATGATCCTACCTGTCTGACTTCTTCAATTTGCACTTCAAATGTCCGTGGAGCTAAAATCAGATTGTCGATCACATTGTTTATTTTTGTCACCAGAGAAAGGATAGAAGCCTATTCAGGGGAATTGGGAGCAAGGTCCTGATTCCTCTTCAGCAAGGTTCACTGAAGGAAGTTTCATCAGGTGCTGGCTTCACCTGAGGGAAGGCCATTTCACACAAATGGAAATCAGATGGGATGGATATGTGGCACAGAGGGCCTGAACCCGCCTCCTGGGTCTCTCCCGCCACGACCCCGCCTCTGTCACCCCTCATGGCGCCCTCACGCCTGAACCTAATTAGTACTTATATAATGTTTATATTAGTGGTTTTATATGTTATCTGACAATATTGTAGATATATTATGTTAAACTATTATTAAATGAATTTTACCTGTTTCTTTTAACTTAAATGTAGCTACTTGAAAATTTAAAATTGTGTATGTGCTGAGTTCAAAAGCAATATAGTAGGAAAAACTAACTGGGCCCATCAAATTTATTTTACCTAGAAGTGAACAGAGGAAAAGAATCATGAATTTTGTATAATTTCAAGAGAGAGAATTGACTTTTATTACAGGTAAAAAGTAGGATGCAAAAAATAATTCTCATAAATTACAAGAATTAAGATTGCTATTTCAAAACAGGCTGATAAAAATGTTGATTATAAAGAAAACTATGAAAGAACTGCCTCACCCAGAATTTGAAATCCTAATAAATAATTTGAAAACAGAAAGATCTGGAAAGGGATGAAAAACCAGGAAAGATTTGAAAATATAAGAAATTAAATCAGAGACAAGAAGACTAAACAGAAAAGCTAGAAGTGCAAAATATAACAACAACAAAATCCAACTAAATCAGAGGAGAGATAGAGCTGACCATATAACTGTCAATTACAATATATGTACAATATTTGGTTCACGACATTACTTATGCTTAAATTATATGTATTGGTTAACTCATTCATGGAACAGGAAATTTATACTTATTACATAGACATGTAATATTTCAACATATGTATACATTGAAATTGCAAATTAGTCTCTCCAAATATTTATTTTGTTCATGATAAAACCCAAAGCTTCTGGTTTCTATCTATGTCACAGCAGTCATTGATCAAACTTTCCTAATCCTTCCCTAGGGATAAGTTAATATGACTAAATATTTTACATTAACAGGGTAGATATCTTTTGTGGTGTGATTATTTGTCTTTTAGAGATACATATGGAAGTATTTATGAATTAAATGATACAATGTAAAGAGATGGATTGAAAGAAGTGGTTAGGAATTTAGAAAAGACCAAACTGACCATAAATAGATTCTTATTGAAATATTGATAGGTACAAAATATTAATGAAGTATGCATATTGATGGGTATGTGAATGTTTACTCTATAATTTGAATATTTGAAATTTTTAATAATAAAAGGTAAGAAAATGAAAACAAATGAATCTTCTTCCATGAATTTAAAAATACTGATGCATTTAAACTATAAAGGTGGCTCTGTGATGAAATGCAAAATAAAAGAGAAAAATAAAAATAGTTTTCTGTAATGTTACTACTAAGCTGAGAATTTCAGGAGGCTTTACTGTAACTGGTCAGTTTTTCCATTGGCAGAACGTTCCAGATCTTTAAAACCATCTGGAGAATAAGGATTTGGCCAGACTTCCATTCCATTAGTTGAGAAAGAATGTTAAAAAGCATAGCTTTTCATGTGACAAAATGCATACCTAGATATTGAAACACAAAGCAATCCATATCCCAATTTATAACAAGCACACAAACAATATCCAATCCTTCCAATTATATATTACAATGTGAAGTCAAAATCATCCCTCTGAAAGCATCTTGGTCCTAAGGTTATGCCACAATTTGGCCAACTATTTACTTATTTAGTAATCAGATAGCCTAAGAAAAAATATTAAGATTGGTAAATAATTGTTACCACTTAGAAGTAATACAGGAGGAAATGAAAATAACTCAGAAAAGCCATATTTTGAAAGGCAGTATTTTAGAAAGACAATACTAAATAGTATAAATTTCAAAATTCATACCTTTTCTAGATTGTTTGAAGTCTTTCTGAACTTTTATGTTTTTCTACAAATCTATATAGATCTTTCCATATAATTTCTAGCATCAGCATCTTGGGTGTTTCAAATTTTGGACCAAATAGCTGAGTTCCAGTCTCTGTCTTCACTACAGTCTATCTCCATCCTTAGGACAGAAAATAATCAGAAACAGGACAAGGAGAAAGAGCAAGGCAGGAGCATCGAATTAGTATTTCAGTAAACATTTGGTCAGACAATATGAATCTACCATGTTCCTCCCTCATGTACGTTATATACGTGAGTCTCATTTTAACAATCTTGTGATGTATGTAAATATTCATCTAAATTTTGCCAAATTTGCCAGCAAATTTTGCTGGCAAAATTGGTGCTCCAATTTAACTTAACAAACGTCTATTGTGTATTTACTCTTTGTAGAGCAATGCAGATGGCACTGAACATTCATGCAATATAATGCTGTACCTGTCCTCAACTTGCTCAGGTTTCTGGGGAAAACAAAGCAAAGAAAGTGTCATGATAATGCCACATGGTGAATCTTTAATGAGCAAAGAACTATGTGGAATCACATATGTTTCCCAGCACTTGGAAGGATAGGTAAACTTAGGAAAATGGCGAGATGTCCAATTGTATCTGATCTTTGAATCTAAGAGGAAGGAAAAAACACCCTAATTTTGCACCTTATGTGTATTGCTTAATCATCAAGGAATAAGCTACTTTTATGACAAGCAAACTTTCTCCTTCCAAACATTGCAAGAAGTGATAGGGTGTTACCTGCTCAGAAAAGCCATCAAAGCTCCGCTTATTGCTGTTAAATTCCACTACAGTGAGCAATGTTCCCATGTGTGTAACTACCTCTGTGGAGTCTGGACATCTTCCCTATTATGGCTACAATGTTTACCATGAGCATTTCCCTATAATAGGCTCTGCATAAAGCGAATGGAACACATGGTGCCTCCTATCGCTGACAGTTATTTTTACCAACCTACTAGGACTAAATGCATTCTATAAACTATTAGAGGAATAGTGCAGTAGTGGAAAAAGTGATTTCAATATTAGAACAAGTACTGTAGTGGCTGCCAACTACACTCCCTTAATAAAAATGGAAAGTGAAACAGTTGGCTGAGAAGCCAGGTGAGAATCTGAGTCCCGCTAGAGCCTTAAATGAGACTCGGAGAGATCTGCTCTGACAGGACCCACATGTATGGCTCTGGCTCTCAGAAAGCCACACATGCACACATGCTCTTAGGAGGAGCCAACAGAAAAGAGCAAAATGACTTTGACAGCATTTACATTCCTAGTTTCTCTTAAAAGCACATTGGTTTTCACAGGCTTGTTTCCATCATTTGGAGCTAAAATCTGGAGTGTTGCAATTTTGAAGCACATTCACTAAGGCCAATCACAGAGATGAAAAAATGCACACACACACACACACACACACACACACACACACACACACACACACACTTCTGTATAATGAGATATTGAAAAAGGAGAATCTGACTGTTTCATATACAGTTTATAGGTACAATGATGGTCTACCCATTTGTTTTAAAGTTAGTGATCCAGTATTAGCAACACAAATTATGAAAATGAAAAAATGAAAGTGACATTAAAATTATTTGATTTTTCTCCTTTGCTCATACAAAAAGGTAGTGGTCAAAAGAAGAGCCCTGACCAAATATGATGTCCCCACCACCTTGTCGGGACATAGAGGTGGAATTGCTATCTTCATGTGTTAGCCTGTGGTACCAAGGTGTGAACTGCCATCCCATCATTGTCTGGGAGGTATGCTGTTCAAAGTTGGGAAGACAGCCTACATTCTAGTTCAAGGCGGGTGACTATAGTAGTTGGGGAAGTTGGCGATGATAAGCCAAACAAAACAGAAAACTGGGACAACTAATAAAGATGAGGTTTTCAAGCCAACAGTACAGAATAGTATCTGGGGAGGTTTCTGAGATGAAGAACAAATGTCTGGTTGCATGCAATTTCTAGGGCTGAGCTCTGCAGGGATGGAGAGCTTATGCCTACAAACAGCAAGAAGGAAAAAAAAATCAGCTAACCATGATTCAAGCAAACATTCTCACATGACAAGAATTCTGAACATAAACGCAATTCTGGCTTTGGTTAAACTGCTCAGCCCCGGCAGGGCTCCAGGTCCATTTTTCCTATGACTCTCATGAAATTCTTCTCATGGCTACACATTATTGCAGTGGCAAGTCATGTCATCACATGGCTGTGCTCAAAACCAGAAAATGGGATGATCTAGGGCAGAACATTTACCCGTAAGCCAATCCCTCATGTCAGGAAAAAATAAAAATCTTTTTTTTTTTCAGTCATGGGGCTTGAAGTTTGGGCCTGGGCACTGTCCCTGCACTCTTCAGCTCAAGGCAAGCGCTCTACTACTTGAGCCACAGCACCACTTCCAGTTTTCTAGTTTTATTAGAGATAAGAATCTCATGGACTTTCCTGCCCAGGCTGGCTTTGAACCGTGATCCTCAGATCTCAGCCTCTTGAGTAGCTAGGATTACAGGTGTGAGCCATTGGCACCTGGTTTAAAAGTCTTTCTGAGAAATGTATAACTCACTTATCTACCAGATTCTGGTAGCTTGACCAACTTGGCCTTATTTGCTTGAAACTTTGCGTACTTTGCTTTCCTTCTTAGGTCACCCTCCCCTCCATAACCTGCTCATCGGATTTTTCTTTTAAGCACTGCTTCTCCTGGCTAAAGATGAGTGAAAAACTGTCCCTGAACCTGAGACTGGGAGAGTCCAAGGTGAAGTGTAATTGGCCACTCTAAGAACAACTCTACCTTCTGCGGTGCGGTTTTGCTTCCCTGGGCCACTGAGAATGACAGGCACACGTCACTGTGCCCAACCATTGTGCTTCCCCCATAAATGGGATGATAGATTAGTACCACGACACCCAGACCTTGATTGAAATACAGTCGTAGGAATTTTTATGCCTGGGCTGACTTGAAACTATATTTTCTGATTTCAAACTGCCTCTCTTCCCAGAAGCTAGGATTATAGACTTGAGCTTGTGTCCAGCTATAATATCATTATTTTAAAAAATTTGATATGATAGTAAGTGGATCTGATTGATAAAGCATGAGGCAACCACACAGCCCATGAAAGTGAGAACTTGTGACAA